CCTATTTTCTTTAATAACATTATTTTTTCTTGCCTCAAAATGTTTATACACTTCGGGACTGAAAATACTAAATGCTTATCAGTGATGCTCACTTAGAAGTCGAGATAGGCAGAAGGCGAGCCAAAGAACCGAAACTGCCATAAAATTCCTTTCAGCATCTCTCATCCTCGGGATTTATACGTCCGCTGATTGAGAGAGACTTGAAAACTAAGTTCTGATGATAGCGATTTCTGTAACGACTCTCTTGTGGGCCCTGGATCACTACCAGACACGAACAAACACATGGGCTACCAGCCAATTAGATACTCAGTACGAACGTCTGTCGTTCAAATATAATTTACGGTGCTGTCCATTGGAAGACATTTCGATGTTCCCGTCTCATTTAAAAACCTGGATATTAAAACAAAAGTCCGTAAAACTAAAATCTCACTTCTGGAAATGTCAATTTCAATCTACTGGAAGAAACAGATAAAGAGATTTTTACAGCGTGTTGCAGAACATTAAAAGAGGCAAACGGATAACATTACGCAACAAGGAACTTCATAATTTGTGAGATTTCAGGTTCTCATGGTGGCGAGTATGAAGACGACTCCTCTGGAATCCTGCGCTGTACAGTCTGTTTAAAATTTACTGACGTTTTAGAGGTTTCGGCTGCCCCCATATTCAGGATGGTTGCACTGAGACTTCAACAATTTCAAATCGTCCGAATTTTACTCCATTTTTACACAGTTAATCACCCGAATTACACCTGTCTTCATGATTACTTTAGAATTTTACACCTAAACTATTATTAACACTGAAAGGGCTGTGGCTAAAGTTACTAATGCCTAAAAGGGATGAAAGAGAAGCAGCAGATAAAAATGTAGGTAGTAATGGAGAGAGAGAGGTGAAGACATATTAGCACTGGCGAACAGCAACGTCGCTGCCCCTGCCACATAACTTTTTCATATTGAACCTCTCTTTGCCTTGCAGCGGCCGCGGACAGAATTATCGCCCCATTTTTCCCTTTAATAAAAGACCGTCGAAATTTAATGAGAACCCGGAAACATACTCTTATATTTTACCTTTGGTGGCTCTTATCAATATAACTTTTGGCACTTACTTTTCTCTTAAAATTATTCATTATCATGACTTTTTCCATCGTCTGTTCTTTAAAACCACGACGTTTCGGAGGCTGGTTATGGCACCGTCTTCAGGTGTGTGGTCCAGTGACAGAGACTAGCTCTATCTAAGGGACCAAACAGAGTAGGTACCTCTCACCTGAAGACGAAGACAGAACCAGTCTCCGAAACGTCGTGGTTTTGCAGAACAGACGATGGAAAAAGTCTTGACAACGAATAATTTTAGGTGCAAACTACCGTCGTCAAAACCCTTTAGGATTGAATTACTTTTCTGATGGCACATAACATTAAAGTTCTTACTGCAAAAAGGAAATATTTGTTTTCTCAAATTTGAAGGTAACTGAAACACTCAATAAAAATTTAAACACCATTCTTTCCCGTTATGAGGCTACTTCATACTTTTCTTGTTGCTGCGTACGTCTGGATTATGTCCTTCATACTTTTATTGTTGCTGCGTACGTCTGGATTATGTCATTAACAAACTATGAAAATTATAATCAGCAATACGATTTTGACACGTTGGACACAATTTTACCTTTGACCTTTGCTAATGGCGCCTGTGACCTCAGAACTGTGTGGCCAATGACCTTTACGCTGGCGGGGTGTTAGACGCGTGATATCCCCACGCAGGGATTTTCCAGGTAGCGTGGGGATTCCCAACAACGTCACAAGCACAGAAAAGAATGTAGGCCTTCATGGTTAGCTCCCGTCATTGTCATCCGAGTTTAACCAATATTATAATGTGCTGACAAAACTCCCGAATTTCAGATTTACTTAAAATCCATTCTGCGGTGCCAGACGGGCTAACGGACGGACATACATACATAGCGAAGCTTTTAGGCGCATTTCTGTACATTCAGTTTTTAACGCCTAAAACGCTGTTTCAACTGTAGAGGTTTATATAGCGTCGGGTGAGATAGAAGAATTATCATGAATGGAAGAAGGCGATCTTCGCGAATTTCAAGGTCATATTTGGGCTTCTGTGAAGACAGGTTGAAGGACAAACGAGAAAACTACCAAAATTAAATGAAGGGCAGGGGGAATGAAGAGAAACAAACTAAAAATATAGAATGAAATAATAAGCTAAGAATGAACACGACATTAAAAAGCCAACCTAAGTGTTGTGCCCTAAACACTTCAAGAAAGGAATTCCACGGATGATGTCTCTTAGAATCTATTTTTGTGAGCTGTGGTAAGTCTAAACAACTCACCAGGCTGTGTTGCAGGTATGGGTGACAGTCATGTACCGAGCTCCAAGGCTGTAGAAAGTCCTGAGTACCGCAAGCGAGTTCCCGAGTGAATGGCCGCCTTCCACTCCGATTAAACTGGCTATCCTGCCAGCACGGTGCGTTTCCTGGACACCTGCAATCAGTCAAACAACGAAGTCGGATAACTGAATAAAGCGCCGCTGATCTTTAGGAGAGACAAAGGAACCGCAGTTGAAGTGCTGAAGATTACCACCTGATCTTTTCCGAATACAAACTAAGATCTTCGCACTAACCCATTCTACGTAGGTTCTCGTATATAATTTTAACTGTCATATACGGGCATCTGTTTCAGACCCGAGTAATCGGAAACAAATATATTGGCAGAGAGAAACATTACAGCCTTCCAGAATGTTGCGGCATGCAGTCTGGTAGAAACTGACCGATGTTCCTGAGGTGCCTACTGTTTTCTGTGACGAGATAATTGTCCTGACAATCGATGCGGTAAGCATTTTTTAAATGTCAGTTAATTCTACTTGGCTACACGGCTCATCATCCCAGAAAAGAGTCATCTTCATATTCGCCGCCGCGAGACACAAGAATCTCATACAGAAACGAGAAAGTGACATGCCGGGACTTAAATTAGGCCACGACCGCTTCCTTCCACTTTGTTTCCAATTCATTATTCTCTATCATCCTCTCCGTCGACACTATGTATTCTGAGATGCTGTAAAATATCTTTAAATAAACTGTAAATAAATACATAAATAAGTGACGGAATTAAATTAATTTTTCTGATGTTTTTTTCTTTTCTAAGATCTGTGCCCGTCTGTTCATCGACTCACATGTTCCAGATAATGGGCGAAAGACATTTAAGCATCTAGACCTACGTGCAGACAATATATTGCAGCAGCAACACG